AAGTTGCTCTCACTTTAGAAGAGGTTCCTGTACTACTTCAAGTGACTACTATATGACATGTGCCCACAGACTTTAATGGAAGTTGCCTCCAAGTCAGATGCTCATCTATATTGATGTGATTTGGATCCAACATTACTGGAAGATTACCCAGGCATTTCTTGAAAGTCGCTTTAATGTCACAAAGTAGTGATCAAGTCGCCAGGAAAAGTTGCACTGTAAGTCGCACGACTTTCAGATCGCAGTAGTATGAACTGAGACTAAGCCCTGGTTCACACTGAATGCAATTTGCATGCCTTGCAAATTGCATGCCAAGTTGCATCCTATTGTCCACAGTTGGAGCAGATACTAAAAAGTAGTACATGCACTACTTTTGGTGCAATTTGCATAGACATCTGTATTAGATGTCTTGCAAATGGCATCTGAAATCGGCGGGTCCCCCAACTTTGAAATCGTGAGACTTCACTGTAAGTCTCAAAGTTGGGCTTAATGTGAATGGAGGGTAAGTGCCTGGTCACATCGGTGCAAATTGAAATCGCACCTGAAATCGCATCTAATGAATGTGAATGTCAGTGCCTTAACATTCTAAAGTAGTTCTTGCATTACTTTTTCTGCAGTTTTGTTATGATTTCACATACAAAGAACATAATGTAAATCACACTGCAAATTGCAAATCATTGAAAATCTTCACAAGTAGCAATAAAGTCTTCAGAAATTGCACAATTTTAAATTGCAGCGGTGTGACAGGTGACTAATGCAGGCCATAGATGGGTCGAAAATCGGCCGATTTTTCGGCCGAAAATAAAGTCGGCCGATTTTCGGATCGTTAGTGGGCTAATTGTTCAGCCGTTTTTCAGTATTTTGGCAGATTTTTTTTATCGGTAAAGTTGGAAAAAAATCGGCCGATTTTGCCGATCAGCCGATTTTCGCGGCAATTATGGGCAAATCGGCCGATCTTTTTACCGATAAAAAATCTGCGCATGAGCAGTGACCTGCAAGAGGAAGACAAAAAAGAAGAAGAAGAAGAAGAAGAGGAAGAAGAAGAGGATGAAGAAGAAGAAGAAGAAGAGGAAGAAGAAGAAGAAGAAGAAGAGGAAAAAAGAAGAAGAGGATGAAGAAGAGAGAGGAAGAAGAAGAAGAATAGGAAGAAGAGGATGAAGAAGAAGAGGATGAAGAAGAGGAAGAAGAAGAAGAAGAGATGAAGAGGAAGAAGAAGAGGATGAAGAAGAAGAGGATGAGGAAGAAGAAGAGGATGAGGAAGAAAGAAGAGGAAGAAGAGGAGAAGAAGAAGATGATGAAAGAGGAAGAAGAAGAGGATGAAGAAGAGAAGAAGAAGAGGATGATGAAGAAGAAGAGGATGAAGAAGAGGAAGAAGAGGGATGAAGAAGAGGAAAAAGAGGATGAAGAAGAGGAAGAAGAGGATGAAGAAGAAGAGAGAGGAAGAAGAGGATGAAGAAGAGGATGATGAAGAAGATGAAGAAGAGGATGAAGAAGCTGAAGAAGAGGAAACTGAAGAAGAAGAAGAAGAAGAAGAAGAGGATGAGGATGAAGAAGAAGAAGAGGATGAAGAAGCTTAAGAAGAGGAAAGAAGAAGAAGAGGATGAAGAAGAGGATGAAGTAGAAGAAGTAGAGGATGATGAAGATGAAGAAGAAGAGGATGAAGAAGAGGATGAAGAAGCTGAAGAAGAGGATGAAGAAGAAGACGAAGAAGAAGAGGATGAAGAAGAGGAAAGTAGAGGATGATGAAGATGAGGATGAAGAAGAAGAGGATGAAGAAGAGGATGTAGAAGCTGAAGAAGAGGATGAAGAAGAAGAGAAGATGATGAAGAAGAAGAGGAAGAAGAAGAAGAGGATGAAGAAGAAGAGGATGATGAGAAGAAGAGATGAAGAAGGAGAAGAAGAAGTAGAAGAAGCAGAAGAAGAGGATGAAGAAGATGAAGAAGAGGATGAAGAAGAAGAAGAGGAAGGAAGAAGTAGAAGAAGGAGAAGAAGAAGAGGATGAAGAAGAAGAGGAATTCCAGTCCAGAAAAAAGTGTCCCTACAGAGAGCTCTGCTATTTCTTTGACAGTTCCTTGACATTTATAGCGGTTGCAACAATGTATCTATTTGTTTCCAAATAAAAACATCTGTATCCTAAATGGATACAAATACATTGTTGCAACCGCTATAAATGTCAAGGAACTGTCAAAGAAATAGCGGAGCTCTCTGCAGGGACACTTTTTGCCAGCTGTAGACAGGATGATGAAAATCGGCCGATTTTTTTTTACCGTTGCAGGTAACATCGGCCGCTTGAACGACCGATTTTTCATTTTTTTAAAAGAAAAATCGGCCGATTTTCGACCCATCTATGGCCTGCATAAGCCTCTTGTCACACTGCTGCAATTTATAAGCACGATTTATGTGCAATCTCAACGCAATTTCAGGTGTGATTTCTGAAGACTTTATTTCTACTTGAGAAGATTTTCAATAATTTCTTGCAATTTGCAGTGCGATTTCCATTATATTCTATGTATGTGAAATCTCAACAAAACTGCAGAAAAAGTAATGCAAGAACTACTGTAGAAACTGCGGTGCAGCAAATCGCACGTTAAAACACGGACATTCACTAAATGTGATTTCAGGTGTGATTTCAATTTGCACATCGCACCGGAGTGACAGGACACTTTTTCCCCCGGTCACATCAAAGCAGATTTTGAAATCGTGCGACTAAGCTCTGGTTCACACCGCTGTGATTTCAGGTGCGATTTCTAAGTTGAAATCGTACCTCAAATTGGATCTAATGAATGTGAATGTTTTAACATACACCATTTGCTGCAGTGCGATTTCAAAAGTAGTTCCCTGTATTACTTCTGCAGTTTGTTGTGATTTCACATATAGACTACAATATGAATCACACTGCAAAACGCAATGGAAAACGCAAGAAATTGTTGGGAAATCTCAAACAAATCTTCAGAAAACATGGTGAAATCGCAAACAAAACACGCGATTTTAAAGCACATCCAGTGTGAACCAAGCCTTACAGTGAAGTCGCACAATTTCAAAATTGTGTGACTTGCCGATTTCATTGCAATTTGCAAGACATCTGACATAGATGTCTATGCAAATTGCATGAAAAGAAGTGCATGCACTGCTTTAGAAATTGGTGCGACCAAGTCGGAACCGCACCGATATGACCGTTCTAATAGTGGACAATAGGGTTCGACTTGGCATACGTTTTGCAAGTTGTCTGGCATGCAAATCGCATGCCAAGTCACACCTGATGTCACCGGGTCGGTTACACCTCGGTCAACTTGCCATGCGATTTTCAATGCTACGCGAGTTGCAAATCGCATGGCAAGTCACCCCCTACTGTCCGCAATTAAAGCGGACATATCGGTGCGATTCTGACTTGGTCAGAGCTGCACCGATTTCTAAAGTAGTGCATGCACGGTGCGACTTGCATAGACATCTGGGCAGATGTCTTGCAAGTCGCACCTCAAGTTGGAATGACATCCGAATTTGAAATTGTGAGACTTCACTGGAAGTCGCACGATATCAAAGTTGGATCGGTGTGACCAGGCTGTTAACCTCCCTAGCGGTCTGATTATGTCAGTATTTCTGTGCTCAAAGCGGTACATTTTTTTGCATGGAAATATGTATTTTTTTTATTGTAGGCTTGTAATTTTTAGGAATAACTCACCAAAATCTGTCCAAACAAGAGTCTAGTAAACATCCCGGGTATGATAAAATTTGAAACACGAAATCATAAATTATAATTTAATAAATCATAAAAAATAATATAATAATAATAAATTTAATTCAATAATATAATCCAACCAAAAACACTGAAATTTGAAATATAGCGCCAAGTTTGCACATCACTGAGCAAAGTCGCAAAATCGTTTTCAGTGTCTGATGACGAATTTCCCCACGAATCATTATCACTCAATTCTGCAAATGGTTCTGATTTACTATCACTGTTCTCTAGCTGGTCTAAAACCGCTTTTGACCCAAAGGGACGCTTTTTGGACTCCATGGACGTTTCTCAGTTTCCAGGCAGAAAGAACAGTAAAAATGTAGGCAGGACACAGGACAAAGCACTCGGGACAAAATGTATGTGAAATGGTTTGATACAGTAATGTTATATTATGTGATTTTAGTGAATGTCACTTTTTGTCATTTTCAAATTTCCTGCCGTTCTGTCCCCCGTACGTCCCGACGCTCGCAGAGGATAGAACCCAGATGACAGATGCCGGCATCCGCCGGAGGACATTACAGGGGACACTGCAGGGAGGACATCGCCGGAGCGCAGGACAAGGTAAGTGATCGAGGGATCCCGGAGCAACGCTGCAAGGTATCCTGAGTGTAGCTCGGGGTTACCGCTTGTGGTACTGAAACTTTACCCCGAGCTACACTCGGGAATACCGCCAGGGAGGTTAATCTTCCGGAAGGCAAGTGGTTACTTACACCTCAGTCACATCAAGCCTTACAGAGAAGTCACATGATTTTCAAAGTCGCAAGACAACTGACACAGATGTCTGTTTAAATCGCACCAAAAGTAGTGTATGTACTACTTTAGAAATCGGTGCGGCTCTGACCAAGTCGGAACGACACCAATATGACTGCTGTGATTGCAGACAATAGGGTGCGACTTGGCATGGCACTCAGTGTGACCGGGATCTTAAGCTTTGAAAATGAAAGAAAGAAGCTGATTGGTGGCCATGCACAGCTGCTCCTGTTTTGATAAATTCTCCTCTCAGTGTACATGAGGCCCCAGTCAGGGCACCCTGGCAGCCAATAGGGGTGTCTATAAATCTGCTGTGACCGCAGCGCTGAGGTGCCCCCTGGAATGCCCAGTCACTGTTATTGTGACACGAAGCAGCCCAGCCTGTGTTGTCCCTCATGTGCTCCTCAGAAGTGTCAGTGTCAGACGCGAACAGGCCGCCAATCCGCGACCTCACGTACTCGCCACGCCCCCGTTCAGGCTCACAGCCGCGCCCCCTCCGGGTAGCTCGGAGTGCGGGATGCCGAGCTGCCTGGCGCCCCGCTATCGGCTCCTGGACCTGGTGTTTGCGGTGTTGGGGACGGTGGCCTTCCTGTGGGACCTGGGCATCGATATTTGGAGCGCAGTGAAGTATTATAAGGGCGGGGACCCCGTGTTTGCTGGTCTGCACTTCGGCCTGTACGTCGTGTCCTCTCTTGTGCTGCAGCTCCTCAGCTGGGGATGGTTCAGGGCTGACTGGAAGGACTGGGCGGCTGAGGCTGCCAGTGAAGGGAAGGCAGCCAATGGGCACCCAGCGGTGAATGGAATGAAGAGTGCAGTGTTGTGTGTGCGGACAGAGGACGGGAGATGCAATGTAGATGCGGCTGTGTGTATGGAGGACCAGCCAGGAGGGACCACAGCTTGTCCTGAGACGTCCTTACTCCAGGCTAATGGGGACACCGAACAAGCCGCTGCCCCCACACAGGCACCAATGCCTGACACTCCACTGCAAGGACCTGAGCTGGACTGCAAGCCAACAAGTGAGCACGTTGAGGAGCCGGCCTTTCTGACTCGGTTTTCTATCTCCCGCATCCGGCGGCAGCCTTTCTGTCTCTCTATACTGCACATACTCCAGTTAGGGTACCCCTTTAGGTAAGTGCTGCTGCCTATGGGTCTGATTTGTTAAAGGAGTACTAAAGATGATGCATATGATGTGGTCGGTCTCTAGCATTGAGAGATCTTAGATTGTAAGCTTCTAGGATCAGGGCCTCCTAACCCTCTTGTATTGAACTGTATTATCTCCCATTATGTTGGAAAGCGCTGAGCAAACTGTTGGCGCTATTTATTATTATACAGGATTTATATAGCGCCAACTGTTTGCTCAGCGCTCTCCAACATAATGGGAGATAATACAGTTCAATACAAGAGGGAGAGGAGGGCCTGATCCTTGGAGCTTACAATCTAAGAGATATATAAATCCTGAATAATAATAATTTGAAGGTGTGTTCAGATGCTCCTCCAAAAAAAACCATCCGAGTGAACCCATCACCTGTAATAGGCCAATCATCTGCAGCTAGGGCATTCCCCACTGTCATAGACGTACATGCCCTTTGTATATGTGTGGTTGTAGGTTGGGAAATGCTACCACACTAGATGACTGCTCCATTACAGGTGATGGCCTCCTGGCAGAAGAGCATCCAAACACACCAAAGTTCATCTCTGCCAGCACTAAAGTGGTTGGAAAGGCTCCAGGTATTTCACCTTCATACATTCTATGAAGGGAGGTTAAAAAAAAAAAAACCTGTGTGGAGCAGCCCCCCCGATCCCGATATGTTCATGAGAGCCTTGGATCTCACTCCTGATTGGCTCCCACTACTATCAATCACTGCCTGTGAGGCAATCAGGATAAAAAGGGGGGCAAGACCAAGCCGTGACTCTATGTGTAAATGCACACAAAAAGCTGCAGCTCGGGAGCACGTCTGTTCAGGTGCCCCCCTAACAAGGTGCTTGCTATGGGGGCACTCCTTAGGAGGGAGGGACCAGGAGCACAGGCAGGAGAACTGAGAAGAGGAAGAGCTGGGCTGCTCTGTCCAAACCCACTGCACAGAGCAGGTAAGTATAGACATTTTTTTTTTATAACAAAGACTAAAGCAGTAGTAAACCACAAAAGAAAAAATTCTAAAAAAAAAAAAAATCACCCTGCAAGCTAAGCGCATAATGTGGCCATCGGATTGGCCAGGCCATGATGTCATCACTCTCGCGCATGCACAAAGGGAGTTTCAGCCACGGCACGGCTCTCAGTGGATGGCGCGCCATCCATTGAGAGCACAGTGCGCATGTGCCGGTGGCATCACCAGCGGTTCTAGAGTAAAGATCTCCTATACAGTACACGTTTAGGAGATATTTTGCAGTACCTACAGTTAAGCCTTATTAACCGCTTTCCGACCGCCCTATAGCAGATATACTGCTACAGGGTGGCACGGGTGCGCAAAAATTACGTGTATCTGTACATGGTTTTGCATTTCCGGGTAGTGGGCTCGCGAATGCCCCACCCATGCTGCCATTCGCTTCAATTACTGTGTCCCGGCCGGTGATTCCTCGCCGACGCCCGGTAATTCACAAACCTCTCTGCTGGGGAGAACTGTATGTAAACAATTCAGTTCTCCTCCCGATGAGCCCATGCACACTGCCTTGGAGCAAAGCAGTGTACTTACAGTGAAGCACATGGACACAGCACAGAGTAAAGCAGCACAGTTAACCCTTTGATCGCCCCACATGTTAACCCCTTCCTGTCCAGTGCCATTAGTACAGTTTCAGTGCTTTTTTTTAGCACTGATCACTATATTGGTGTCACTGGGGATGTCAGTGACACCAAGTCAGTTCCTCCCAGTGTCAGAATGCCCACCGCAGTCCTGCTATAATTCGCTGATCGCCATCATTACTAGTTAAAAAAAAAAAAAAAAAAAAAAAAATCCCAGTATATATACCGCACCATTTGTAAACGCTATAACTTTAAACACATAAACCAATTAATTTAGACGTATTGGGTTTTTTTTTTTTTTTTTTTTTTAGCAAAGACATGTAGCAGAATACATTTTGGCCTAAATTTATGATGAAATTTGATTATTTACATTTTTTTTACTGGATATGTTTAAAAGCAAAAAGTCAAAAAAATTTTTTTTCCCTCAAAATTGTCTGTCACAGGCGATCAAATACAGACAGAATATGACAGAAAGCTCAATTTGTGGCAAAAAAGGATGTAAATTTCATTTGGGTTCAGCATTGCATTAGCGCACAACTGTAAGTTAAAGTAATACAGCGCCTTAACGTAAAAAATGGCCTGGTCAGGAAGGGGGGTAAATCCTCAGGAGGGCAAGTGGTTAAAGGCTTACCTGTTGGTAAAATATGCAAAAAGGAGTGTACTTCCGCTTTAATATCACTTTAAGACTACATTCACACTAGCGTTGTGTGCAGGCGGCAGAGAGGCGTTTGGGAAGCGTTTTTACCGCTTCCCAAACACCTCAGACAATTCTGTACATTGCAGCACATGGTGCTGTTCTAACAGAAGCGTTAGCGTCGCGGCAAAACGGACGCCTCTGGTCGAGTCAGGAGGCGTTGAAGCCTCCTATTCTAGTCTATGGTGCCGCTCCGCAAAAGCCTGGCCGGCGTTTGCGGAGCGGTTTTGGGGCGTTTGCGGAGTGGTAACGCCATTTAAACTTCATTACAGGCGTTTGTGGGCCGTTTTTAATGCTCAGCAAACGCCTACCAACCGCCACTAAGCCGCGCATGCGGCGTTTGCGGAGCATTTGCCGAGTGTTAAAAAAACGCTTCGCAAACACCGGACCAACGCTTGCCAAACACTATAGGAGCGTTTGGCAAGCGTTGGTAAAACAGTCAAGTGTGAACGAGCCCTAAGGCTTCATTCATACTACTGCAATGTGGCTTTGAAGCAATTTACAGTACAATTTTGTGGTGGGACTTTAATGCAACTTTGCATATTTTATGGGGCGAAGTCACATTGTAAATCGCACCAAAGTAGTGCAGGAACCTTTTCCAAAATCACACCCTTCTGAGTTATATTGATTAGAATGGGCACTATTGAAAATAATGAGATCTACCTTGTCATTCCCCCTCTCTATTTGTCCTGTTTACCATTATCATTGAAATTGAAAGCAAAAGAAAATTCAAAATTTTGGGCTGTCCCCAGAAAAGTGAGAGAGGAGATATCTTCCAATGGGGACACTAGTTTTGGGGACTAGCGACTAATTAGCTGCTGGTTTGCTTTTGCAGGCAGCAGTGGGGGGTCTCCCCCCCACCCCCCCTTTCATGGCTCTTCTGTTTCGGCTTACCTAAGAGATAATCAAGGACCAGAATCACAGCATTCCTCCTGCAATTTGAAACGCCTAAGTGTGAATGGAGCCTTAGACAATTCATCAAGTGTGGACATATTACATGGTTTGTAGGATATAATTATGGTAACATATTGTCAAAGAGTTTCTTTAGGAAACCTGTGCTTTGGCATGCAGGACAAGCAAAAGGTTCATTTAAAGCTGAAGTTTACGGAAAATTTTTTTGGGGGAAAAAAAGCACCAAGGATATAAGTTACATGTAATTGCAGAGTATTTCATGTCCTGCAGGCTGATGTTCCTGTAAAAATGTTTTTTTTTTCTCTGAACTGCAGCCCTCTCCAGCAACACATACCTTGGGCCCGTACACACGATAAGAAAATTGTACCGATTGTAACAGTCGGTCAATTATGTGTCCATTTGTATGGAAATAGGCAAGTAGTGAAAACCGCGCACGACCGGAAGCAAAGAACGACCCAATGCTATACTATATCTCTTCCTCCTCTACCACGCTAGCACATAGCTACATTTGCCTTCATCAGTTGAGAATTTTTGTACAAGTTTATACAATTGTCAGTTAGATCAGGACACGCACCCTCGTGAAAAATTGGACGATTATGCGTAATAGGCTTTACCTTCGCTTTAATCCCTCAAATACATTGTATTGTACATGTATGGGGAGCATGTGACTTCCACATGCCGGTGTTTGGCCAGTCAGGCAACCAGCATTGTCGCATGGGTACGGGAACAGAGTCTTTAGCCAGGTCTAAGCCCAAGGTCAAACTTGGAGGTTCCACATTATTTCCTATCTCATTTCCTGGTGGCTGAATGGAGAATCAGGGCAGGGAAAGTAAGGTGGGTATGGGCAGCAGTTAGGTAAGCCTGTGCTCAGGTTTAAAGTCTTTTAAGTTAGAGTGCTGCTCAAGAGTAGATGCCACAAAAGCCTGTTTTTACCTATATTACCCAGAAAAGCTTTTTATTTGTCTTCTCCTCCCTGATACAACTTTACTTTGTTACTGGGGCCTTACTTTATTTATATACCTAAATTTATAGCCCAGTTCTACCAACTGCCATTAGCGTCCAATGAGATTTCTTCAGTAAAGGCACTCTGACAAACTGAACCTAAATCAGCGATGGTCACAGAAAAGGATTTTCTGACAAATAAACATGATATTAGATATCTTTTGGTGTCTGCTCTAAGAGAGGACACTTAAAATTGCCAAGGATCACTTTAAGTGCCATTTGCAGCTTGACATTTTTTGGCACCACATTGTGATATACAGTAGCTAATTATAAATTGTAATACTATTCTTTCCAGTGATTACTCCCTGTGACAAAGCAATGATACTCATGTGATTGCATGTGGGCAAGTCACTGATTAGCTATTTATATTCCTTTTTTTTTTTTACTTGAACAAACAAAACATTCCATTAGGGCTGCTTGATGTGATCCACAAAGTAAATGGCTCCATACTGTATAGATGCATATTGCTGGGCAGTTTTTCTATTTGTTTCTTATTTTACAGATCTAGAAAACTGCCAGTTACATACAGTGAAGGAAATAAGTATTTGATCCCCTGCTGATTTTGAATGTTTGCCCACTCACAAAGAAATGATCAATCTAAAAATCGAATGGTAGGTGTATTGTAACACTGAGAGACAGAATAGCAACACAAAATTCAAAAGAAATGCATGTCTAACAAATTATGCACTGATTTGCATGTGCATGAGGGAAATAAGTATTTGATCCCCTATCATTCAGCAGGATTTCTGGCTACCAGGTGTCTTTCATACAAGTAACAAGGTG